ATGAAGGGTAGTCACACGAATATTATTCGCGGAAAAAATTATATGACGTTATATGTAAAATATTGTTCTGCACTATTTCTTTTAGTGCATATTAAGTAAATTGTTGAGGGTATAATACACCCCTTAAGAAAAATATTTTAGGACATAAATAAAAGGGAAAATGCATAAGTACCCCCCCCCCCCCAGCCTATGCCCAAAATCCCTGAGACACACCTAACCTTTACTAAGGTCCTATTACCCCCCCCCCCCCCCGAACTTATTTTATATATATTTTCTACCCATTTTCGGTCTACGTGGCACTATCTTGTGGGCCCAGAGCGTGTTGACAATTTTTTCAAGGATAGTGCCACATAGGCCGAAAAGGGATAGAAAATTAATTAAAAAATAAGTTCGGGGGGGGGGGGGGTAATAGGACCTTAGTAAAGGTTAGGTGTGTCTCAGGGATTTTGGGCATAGGCTGGGGGGTACTTATGCATTTTCCCTAAATAAAATGTTAAAAGTTTGGTTCATCTATGTCATTTTCGTTTGAGAAAAAAGCTCATTCATGCCATTATTTGTTAACTGAAATGACATAGATGAGCTGAACTTTTAACGGATGGCATAAATAATTTTTTTCTCAAAGTTCGATGGTATATTTGAGCCTTTCCCCTTTAAAAACATTATTTAATTAATAACATGGGTGAATCATAATTGATCATGTGCAAAAAATGATTTTGCAAAGCCAATTTTTTTTTTTCAGTTAATGAATAATGATATGGATGAATCTTTTTTTCTCAAACGAAAATGGCATAGATGAACCAAACTTTTAATAAATAGCATAGATAAGTTATTTCTCAAAGTTGGATGCATATTTGAACATTTTCCATTTAATTTATCCAAACTTTTAACTTCCTTCCATTTAAACCCCGTGGTTAGTATGCCAGTGCGAGCTCATCATCTTATTAGTCTCAACAATTGTTCTAATTGTGGAAGAAAGGAATTTTGTTGACATCAAGATAAACCAGAGTACCTAGGGTCGATTAAATTTAGATTCGCTCCAGTAAGTCTCACATTCAGTGGTGGAACCATAATTTTCACTAAGGGGGTTCAAAATCTGAAGAAGTAGACATAGGAGCTAACCGAAGGGTTCGACATCTACTCTACGTACATAAAGAACATTCCCTATTCTGTATCCTTTTGATTAAGGATCAAGAAGTACGTACTACTCCACCACAATCCTTGTTGGTAGTACACATGTTCGTATAATGCCATCCAACCGTTCATAGTAATAGTGATAATTGCCTTCTTCACTTTAGAAACTACCATGTTCTGAAAAAAGTGCCAATTATCCATTGATGACCATGCTTAAAAAAAGGCTAGAGTATTCATAACCCCCCTGAATTTGAAGCTTTTTATTTGGTGTACACCTAAACTATATTCCGTTTTAATTACCCTCCATTGCGTACACCTTTATTGTCCACCTGGCATAGAAATTGACAACACACTCTACTAGGCGCGTGAGGAAGTGATTTTTTGCCACATCATAAAGCTACAACGGTAAAAAAATGTAAAATCTCCATTTTTCTTTAATATGTGGCATATTTTAAACAAAAAATAGGGCAAAATGTAAATGAAAAGTAAAGGAAACAAAGATTAACACTTACTTGGTAAGAATTTCAGAAAAATTTGAAATTTAATTGACCAACTTCACGTCTAGAAAAACCCAAATCTAGAAGGAGTTCCGAAATTGAAACGACCCCAAAAATGCCCGAAAATGTGCTTCGGAAACACCTATAATTGTAATTTCCATATATCTCAAAATCCGTTTCGTTTTTCGAAAATCCGACTTCATATTCTTGTTTAGGGGGTCAAATTGAGTGGGAAATGGGTCTAACCCAAATTTTAGAGCAACCGTATCAAAATCCAAAATTTCCAAGTGAAGCCTTTTTCGAGGGTCTACTTTGGAGGGTCATATCTCCTAGCACACAAATTATTTGGTGGCCAATAATATATCCATGGGAAGCCCTTTGAGTTAGCTATCTAACGCACTTCGTTTCACCTCATTCGGAGTTCGGACGAAGAAGTTATGCCCATTTTCGTAAAATCTGTCCGGCAGAAAAAGACAATTTCCAGTAGCTAATTTTACTGTTCACCCGCCCCATTTTTTTTTCCCAAGTGTTGGACGATTTTCTTCCAAAGGGCATATGTTATTTCCTATATAGCATTAGTTCAAATTTCATCTCTAAAACATTTCCAAAACACCTCTCCCATACTTAGACACATTTTCTCTCAAGTTCTCTCAAGAACCCTAATCCAAAACCTTCCTCAAGATTGAAGAGACTCTTGTTCCAAGTTGCAAGCTTCCATTGAAGACACTCTCAAGACCTTCATAAGAACTCAAGGTATGTGGTGTTGAACTCATGGGTCCTTCCACCCATAGTGCCTAGACTCTATTCTACTCACTAGTTCATGGTTTAAGTTAAGATTCATATATTAGTCTTGTTCTTTGTAATAATTTCCTACACATTGAATTTTAAACATGAAAAGTGATTGTTTTGAGCATGTTGTGACCCTAGAACTTGAACCTAAATTTGGAATTGATGTGGAGATTTTCATGTGGTATTGTGGGTGTTAAAAAGGTGTTGTTGTAGGTTGTTCATTGGTTTGGCTGCATAATTACTACCCTATTTCCCATGCTCTTTGATTCCATTACATGCCTTCAAGGTGTTTGACAAAATGTCCAACTATGGAGAATTGATAAATTGATGCTTGAAAGCTTGAGTTATGAGATGTATGGAACTCCAAAGATGTGTTGATGACAAACTAAGCTTGTGTATATGTTCATTCCATACGTGAGATTGCATTAGAGCCTAACGAGAATTTCCTATATAAAGTGTTGCATGACCATGCCCGGTCCGGGGGAAAAGAACCGGACAACCATGTGAGAGGTTTATATCTCACCACCTAGGATGCTTGGGGTGTGACCAACATCAACCATGTGAGAGGTTTATATCTCACCACCTAGGATGCTTGGGGTGTGACCAACATCAACCATGTGAGGGGTTTATACCTTGCCACCAGAGTGTCCGGGTGTGAATGGCATCCCCCATCCTAAGTTGGGGTTATAGATTGGTTGGATCATGCATACACATATGATATCTACTATTAGTATAGATTTACTTAAACATGTTTTGACTTCACTTTGATCATGCATCCTCATATTGTTATTCATAATGCCTATGAAACTATTTCTTGTATTTCGATTGTGTCCTTGTTTATTGTTGTGTTGCACCCCGCATACTTAGTACATTCCAAGTACTAACGCATATTTTGCCTACATGATGTCACCATGTAGGGACCGGAGCTACTCTTGATCCTTCTCTCCATTCACGTGGCTAGTACGACGCTTATCCGAGTTTGTTGGTGAGTCCTCAATAATTCGAGGGCTATGTTATGTTTCTTACTCCTATGTTTTGAGACTTTAGCTTGCAATTGTATTTTAACTATGAGGGGAGCCGGTAATATGTCATGGCCCCCGTCCTATCTATGTATGTAGAGGTGTGCGTTGGACAAGTATTTTGTAAACGAGCTTGACTCTTATTCTATGATGTCATTTTGAAATGGTTTGCCTTAGTCCCTATTTCCCGTTAATTAATGTTGAATGTACTTCCGCGACCGATGAAGTGTGATGACAAGTTTGAGAGGCTTGTTTGGGGTTCCTTCGGGTTCCTCATTCGCCATGTCACGTCTAGGCCCTAGGCTTGGGTCGTGACAGAAATCAACCCTTATTCAAAAATAACTTTTAAACAATGAATTTTAAATTTAAGAAAAACTATCCAATGAATAAATGACATGTAGCATTTTACCTAATTATTTTAACTATTTTAAAATCTATTTTACAGAACTAAATATTAATTTCTTGAAGATTTTCGGGTTTAGTCCGGATGTTTTAGTGAGAAGCTTAGTCCGAAAGTTTTAGGTGAGAAGGTTTGATATTTATTTTTTGCCATATTAATTTATCTAGGTAGCTATTATTTATCCAAGTGGCTATTATTTATCCAGGTGGAAATCCACATCACCACTTTTGCCAGCTGTCGCGCGCGTGTAGTCACAATAGGAGCAGGTGGACAAAAAAGGTGTACGTGATGGAGGAATAAACAAGTTCGGGGTAATTAAAATGGAATATAGTTTAGGTGTACACCGAATAAAAAGCTTCAAGTTCAGGGGGTAATGAATACTTTAGCCTTAAAAAAATGATGTTTGGACAATACATTTGGTTACTATTCTTCATCAGATTCAGGCCAATTGGGACATATATCAGAGAGATTACATACGAAATAAGATTCATAACTAACAAATAATGTTATAGAATGTATATAGACTTGATTCCTAGTAGAATACACAGCCTTATTTAGATAGCAGATTTGTAGGAATTGCACACAATCTATTGTATTTATACATTGCTTACCTATTGGAATAATAGATCTTCTACCATCTGATTACATGGTATCAAAGCGTATAGGCTCGATTCATATTCAGAAATTGAGAACTCTTGTCTGTTTATTCGAGAAAGAACTGATCATTTCAGTCATCTCCGGCGTCGCCTTATCTGTTTCAGCCGCATCCCGAGTTTTCTCTGGTGTTTAAAACACCACTTGGAGAGTTTTCATTTCCAGGTTACTCTCAACACGAGTATGATTGTTATTGCTAAAGGGTATGCTCAGACATATGGAGTGGATTATTCAGACACATTTTCTCCGGTCGCTAAACTCGCTTCTATTCGCTTATTCATTTCTCTAGCTGCTTCAAAGAATTGGCCTTTACATCAGTTGGATATCAAGAATGCTTTCCTTCATGGTGATCTTCAAGAGGAAGTATATATGGAGCAACCACCTGGTTTTATTGCTCATGGGGAGTATGGGAAAGTCTATCATTTGAAGAAGTCATTGTATGGCTTGAAGCAGAGTCCTTGAGCTTGGTTTGGAAAGCTCAGTGAGATAGTTCAAAAGTTTGGATTGAAAATGAGCAAATGTGATCACTCAGTTTTCTATCGGCAATCAACAGCTGGCACTATCCTTCTTGTTGTATATGTTGATGACATTATCATCACAGGAAGTGATTATATGGGCATCTCTTCTCTAAAGTCTTTTCTGCATAATAGGTTTCATACGAAAGACTTAGGTCAGTTGAGATACTTCTTGGGAGTAGAAGTAAATAGAAGCAAGAAGGGAATTTTTCTATCTCAGAGAAAGTATATTCCTGACCTACTTGTAGACACCAGGAAGTTGGCAGCCAAACCTTGCAGTACTCCAATGGTTCCCAACGTGCATCTTATGAAAGATGATAGTGATCCTTTTGATGATCCAGACAAATATAGAAGGTTAGTTGGGAAATTAAACTACCTTACTGTGACTCGTCCAAATATTGCTTTTGCGGTAAGTGTTGTTAGCCAGTTCATGTCATCGCCTACGATCAAACATTGGGAAGCTTTGGCACAGATTCTATGTTACTTGAAAGGTGCCCCTGGACTTGGAATATTGTATAGCAATAGCGATCATACCTGTGTTGAGTGTTTTGCAGATGCTGACTATACTGGATCCAAAATTGATAGGAGATCGACTACTGGCTATTGTGTCTTTGTTAGAGGAAACCTAGTATCATGGAGGAGTAAGAAGCAAAGTGTTGTATCTCGATCAAGTGCAGAATCTGAGTATAGAGCTATTTCCTAGTCTATGTGTGAGATTATGTGGATACATCATCTTTTAACGGAAATTGGCCTAAAGCATCATACACCAGCAAAACTTTGGTGTGATAATCAAGCTGCTCTTCATATTGACTCAAATCCGGTGTATCATGAGAGAACTAAACATATTGAGGTTGACTGTCATTTTATTCGTGAGAAAATTCAGGAGAACTTGATTTCCACTGGCTATGTGAAGACAGGAGATCAACTGGCTGATTTGCTCACAAAGGCATTGCATGGAGCTCGAGTTGACTACCTTTGTAACAAGTTGGGCATGATCAATATTTATGCTCCAACTTGAGGGGGAGTGTTATAGAATGTATATAGACTTGATTCCTAGTAGAATACATAGCCTTATTTAGATAGCAGATTTGTAGGAATTAGCAGATTCACAGGAATCATCTTTTATTTCTTTCCTAAGTTAGCACACAATCTATTGTATTTATACATTGCTTACCTATTGGAATAATAGATCTTATACCATCTGATTACAAATAACATGTCTTTGAACAATACATAGATATCCAAATATTAACTACAGATTAAACAAATTATTCAGTACTGAAAGAAAACACAAAAAAAAAACTTATTCGAAACAGTTTACATGAAAGAAAACACTCAAAACATTAATTTAAAACATCTTCAGAACCATCCGGGGAAATGATTTCAAACTTGAAAATGTTTGAATCAACAAACAATACTTGTAACAAGTTTCTTTATTGGAACTAGTAATCAGATAACTGAGACTGCAAATGCATCATCATGCCTCAATACTCTCCTGCGAAAAAGGAGGAAAATAAGTAAGAAAACATAGGAGAGGAATGTGATGAACACGAAAATAATTGAATATAATCTATGTTTGATATAAAGTCACCTAAATTCTGTATTAGTAGTATAACAGAGTAATGTTGCCCAATTTAATGTTTCAGCAAAGTATGAAACCCACAATACAACAACATACTCAGTGTAGTCCTACAAAATAGAGTCTAGGGAGGAACCTTACCTCAAAGGTAGAGAGGTTGTTTCCGATAGACCTTTGGCTCAAGGAAAAAGAGTTCAAAGGAGTCCCGAAAAGAAATGAAGTACAAGACACAACAACAGATAGTAACATCACAGAAACTACAACAAGCATTACTATAATCGAGGTATAAGGGACAACATATAGTAGCAAAAATTGAAGGATAAGAAACTATAGGAGCAATACTATGACTACTGATATGAACGGACAACAAGACAACATACTGCTACCTACTAATTCTGTGTATAGAGACTATAGGGATAGATGCAATCTTATTGAAAAATGTCTTATTCAATATTTAATGATACGAGATGGAGAGAATTGGACTAACCTTATAACAACTTCACTTTGTGGAATTGAAATCAGCTTCAGTAGGGAATAGTGAGCTTGAATTTGCCGCTTTCTGGATCAGCTTGCTTCTTCTTTTTCTCGCGTTCTATTTCTCTTGCAGATTCTCTTGCTTTGCTTGTGTTGTCCAGCTTCATTTCTTGAAGGTAATCCAAATCGGCAAGCTCAAGTGGCACAGCCTCAAGGTTAAGGCAGGAGATCAGGACAAGGCTCCTAAGTCTTGAGAAGGGACAGTTCGATGCCTCCCACGACACAAAATCTGCCATTTCAATCCACAAGACCTGAAGTTTCTTGAAACCTCCCGGCTCCATCTTCCAGGACGGCCCTGTGAATGCATTTTCTTTCAATTCTAGGACCTGGAGATTTTTCACCTGCCCCAATCTATATGCCTGGTTCCAGTCAAACCTTGTTTTTGATAGAGTTAACTTCTTCAAATTTGGTAAACATTCAGAGAATGCTGACGGAAGATGAAGAGATTTATTACTCTTATCATCATTTAGCAGTGTTAAACTTTCCAGGAGCTTTAGCACTTGAAAATTGCTGAAAAATTCACCTTTGCTAGTTTCAAGAAAAGGCGTCAAATTACCTTCAATACTCATTTTTTTGACATTACCAGCCATTGAAAGAACATTTCCCTTGCAGCTTTCTGGTGTAACCAGAGATAGAGTTTGCAATAAACAAGAATTTGTACTACTACTACTTGTAGGGGGTGGTAAGATTGCAGGTTTGTTGGTGCGCAGATGGCGTAAACGTGGCATGTTCCATATGTCAGCTTTTATATCAAGGGTGGGCTTGGAAGTATTCAGAATAAGAGTTTGTGCATTTCAGAAAGAAGTGAAGAGTTTAGGAAGTTCCTTGAAATCACCTGAGATAGCAATATACCTTAAGTGCAATAGCTGGTAAAATTCCCTGGGAATACTAAACTTGAGGGATTCAATGTCTAAGACTCTCATAAGTGGAAATGCGTTAGGGATGAATTTGACGTCGATGTTAGAAAAGTCAACTTGTTTTTGTTTTGAGGAAAAACATAACAATGACCTAACATGTTCTTCAACTGTCTTTTTTGAGATGAAATTTTGAGGAACAGATGATTGGATAGACACTCGACGACAAGTAATTGAGTTTTGTATGTCTTGATCAGATGTGAGACATACTTGTTTGAAAAGAGCCAATCTAGTAGCCTCTTCAACGCAAAACTCATGTAACATGTCGTGAACACGACATGTTTTTATTCGATCATTAGACGTCTTTCCCATCACCATCACTAAGTTTCTGTTGGCAAAGTCATTGAGATAATACTCTGATATCTCTTCAATTTCGTTGCCCGACAACCTGGACATTATGAGTCCCTCAGCAATCCAGAGTCGAATCAATTTCCAAGCGGGGATATCAAATCCTTGAGGAAAGGCACCAAAATACAAGAAGCAAGCCTTTTTTTCTTGAGGGAAATGATTGTAACTCAGTCTCACAACATTCACACATCTCTGAAGTTTGTCTTCTTGTATAAGGTGTTTCCCCACATTTTCCCTAACTACTCTCCAATCAATTTCGCTCGTACGACCTCTTAAAGCTCCTGCAATTACCACAATTGTAAGTGGTACTCCACTACATTTTGCTACAATGGCTTCTCCATGTTCTACTAACTCAACAGGACAACGGCTAACGCCAAAAGCTCTCTTTTCTAGCAGCTGGAAACTTTCATCTCCATCCAAAAATTTCAGATTGTGGGGATATTTATTGACAGATCTAGCAATGTCTTCGTGTCGAGTGGTCATCATGATCCTGTGGGCTTTTTTATTATCAGGGAAAACTGTCTTGACAAAATCTACAATATTTGAATCCCATACATCATCCAAGACAATGAGACTTTTACCTCCATTAGCCACGCGCTTACGTATTTCCTCAGTTATGTCTGTCTCATTTGTGTTTTTGAATTCATCAAAGGAATTTGTGAACCCTTTCAGAATATTGAAAAGGATATCCCTTTTTACACACGTTTGATTGTCCGATGAAAACCCAAATGTAACTGAAAAATTCTCGCGAAATCTTAGGATCATTATATATTTTTCTTGCCAGTGTGGTTTTACCAAGTCCCGGCATTCCTACAACGGGGATAACATCTAGACACTTTGCTCCTTCAACCAGACGATTGATCACTTTTGTTGCTTCCTCATCAAATCCAACCACTTCGTGATTTTCCAATGACGAACCCTATAAGATGGACAAACAAGTTATTAAGAGTACTACTTGTCTTGATTGTATCATAAAAAGAAATTACTCCATCTACATTCTAGACAGGTATCAAATAAGCTATGATCATGTGCCAATTCATGTGTGAGTTAATTTTCAATGTCCCCTTATCCTATGTAATGTCTATTTTATTCTTCATATTTTCAATCCCCATCTTTCACTACAAGAAAGTATGCAATTGTATATGACAATTGGTGGTGGTAATGACTAAAGATAGTAATCACGTGTGCCGGTCTTGGATGGTGTTGACTGATGATAGTGATTGTGGATAATATCTTTATGGTAAAGTGATTGATAATATTGATTAACTGTGGTTATTGTTGGTGGCGGCTGATAATTAATAGTGGAATGATACTGACAGTTAACAATGGTGGTGAATGATGATGGTGATTGGCGATATATAATGTTGACTAATGGTGGCAATTATCGACACTGATTAGTGGATGTAATAAGGGTTGGTGGTGATGGTTGCAAATGATGGTTAATGATAATGACGAGTAATTTGGTGATTGACGGTACTTGTGGTTGTGGTTGGACTGAGGATGGTGGTTGTGGATTATAGGTGGTAGTAGTTGGGGGATGGTGGGTGAAAGTAGATGGAGTAATAGTGAAATGTCGTCTTTGTAAAAATTCTTAAATAGACATCTAAATGATACTGACTTTGTGATAGATCTTACTCATTCGGACCTATTTAGAGTGATTGTAAAATAAGAAAATCAACGCACTTACTAATTAGAGCATGTTTGACATTGTTATTAAAAACTGCTTATTTTTATAAAGGTTTTTTAAAAATAGCTTTTCTGAAAATTGTTTTTCAAAAAAAGCAAATTTTGTTTGGCAAATTCATTTGAAAAGTGCTTGTGATAAACAAATTGTGTTTGGCTTACAATTTTTTTTTTTTTTAAAAATGCTTTTGAGAGCAAAACTACAAAAAAGGGCTAGTATCAATATGTTTTTAATATTAAAATTATTTTATAGAGAGAAAATATTTCAAATATATAATACAAAAACTTTAATTATAATTTTATTTTAATTAAATCAAAATGTACATATTCAAATTTTCAATCAATATTATACATAAATAAATCAATAAATAAAAAATGGGAAAATGCATAAGTACCCCCACATATTTATTATTACTGCTTAATATAATATAACAATAATTATTTTATTGCCGTTAAACAATTAAACCAATTTTATTTATTTGTTTATTGTAAAATGAGTTTATGTAAAAATATGACACCTGAACCTAACTCAACATCAAAAGTTAGCTCGTAATTTTTTTTTTTATCCAAGTCCATATATATGCCAAGACAACTAAAAAAAGTTTTGGCCTTACCAAAAGATGTGTCAATTGGAGTAGGACAAAA